GCTAGCGTTGGCCCGTCCGCGGCAGCCAAGGCTAGCGTTGGCCCGTCCGCGGCAGCCAAGGCTAGCGTTGGCCCGTCCGCGGCAGCCAAGGCTAGGGTTGGCCCGTCCGTGGCAGCCAGGGCTAACGCTAGCCTGTGTCTGAAGTACCGCTGGCTCTGATGGTGCTTCTCTTGACAAAATTTTCATTTGATTTGTTCATTATTATTCCCCCACTAAATGAAAAGTCAGAATTTATTATTATCTAGAGGCTAACAGGAGCAGAGCTGAGCTGACGTTACAAAATCCTTTGTGGTTCCGTTCTCCCAGAGTTCACACTTTCCTGGTTTACATGGCCAGATTTCTTGTGAATTGAGAACGGACTTTGTCTGTTCTCGTTCTTCTCGTTCTCGTGAATTTGAGCTGTACTAGGGCTGAGACTGATGACATCTCACAAGTACACGAGCACATGAGAAGGCACAAGTACACATAATGAGAAACGACCAACAATACATGCTAGCTTCAAGCTAACACTATGAAACGAGACTAGCTTCAGGCAGCCAAAGCTTCTCTATCTGCTGTATCTTAGCAGTAAACCTGCCAGATGTAAGCTAACCTTAAATATTAGCTTCATGGATGCAGACAGACTACAGCGATGGTCTGTCAGTCAAAGCTAACGGCTAAGTTAGCTGATCATTACTATGGCAACAAGACGGACTTTAAAACGCTACCAAGGGACTGAACTGACGACTGAAGCAGAATAAAGGATCCAGGAGCCGATAGTTAAAGAAAATATTCAGCAAAGTTACCAGAAATCGTACCGACCGTAAGGGTTCTAGCTAACGCTAACTTGGTTAATAATTCAGATTTAAATTATGTTTTTATTTCTAAACAAAGGCTGATCTGAGCCCTAATTATTGGTTTTGGAGGATTTTACATTTTTCTGTTGAGCAATGATTTTAATTTCATGTGAAAACTGTTTTTTAAGCGTGCAAAAATAAAATAAAAGGGAAATTATGCCTGAAAGTATTTTCTACATTCAATTATTTCTTTTTTTTTTTCTTTTGACATCTGAACATCTTTTTATTTTGATTCTATTATAGCCTCTGATATGAATCTGCTTTTGTTTTATTTTCCCAAAATAGAGGCAGATTTTATTTTAGGTCCGTTAAAATTAGAAGCATCCATTTAAGAAAATATGAATAGAATTAATATCAGACTATAATGAGTTTTTAAGGAGATATAAATCACACTCAGTTATTTAATAGGAGCCATGTTGCTGAAGAGATTTCAAAATAAAAGCCTCCAAAATCAAAACCAGCGTTGCTGATTGTAGCGGTTAAGTTTGGTTTCTTCTCCTCGTTCAGGTCGATGATCGGCTCGTTTTCTCCGCTCATCCTGTTTTGTTCTGATGAATATTTTCCATAAATCTACGTTTTGTTTTTAATGAATTAAAAGTGAGTTTTTTTTCAGACTCTGAACGTTTGAGCTGTGAAGAAGCTGCAGCTTCGACCAGATCAATAATTCACCGCAGGACTGAGTCGCTCTCATATTGTGTTTCAGTTTTGCTTTTTCAGCAGTCGTCCTCGAACTGCAGGCGCCATCATGACTCGCGCTGCTCCCCTGGTTTCCCTTCCTGTTTTTCAGCAAAACAGATTTTTTTTTTCTTTATCATTTCAAACCCACTGATCCCCCCTCAGATAGCCTGAATTTAAATGTTGGTTTCACCTGGAGGCAGGTAGTGGTTTTTCATCCCCCTCCCTCCCTCTTTCCTTCCCTGCTATCTGGTGTTAGCGTATTAGCACGCCATCCTGCCCCTCCCTGGTGTAACTCTACCCGCCGCACTCATCCACTCTCTTACAGTCGGGTTTTTCAGGTCAAGCTAGTTTTTTTTTCCTGTTTTTTCATAAAGGCTCAAAAGGTGAGGACATCAGCTTAAAACGAGGGCGGGGGTTGAAATGCGCATATGTCCGCCACCCAGTCCCTTTGGTTTTATTCAATGTAGCAGATTTCTGGATTTGAATCGGGAACTAAAGCAGAGAAAGTCTGTTTAGACTGTTGGTGAACGCATCCATCACACGCTCCCCTCAGCGCCGGGCTGAAGGAATGCCTCTCGGTCCTCGCAGCCCCATGTCTGGACTTGCACCGACTAACTGCACAAAAGCAGCGTCAGATGTGACTCAAGAGAAACACACACGCATAAAAAAAAAAGGAGAAAAGTGCTCTCCTGCACACAGAGAAACGCAGCCACACTTCTGTGCACATCAAAGAGCCGCTCAGAAACACGTGTCTGCTTCAGCGGCCGATGGTTTGCATCCTGCTTCAGCAGAAACAACAGATTTCCTTTGTGTTTGTGTGGCAGATGTAGAGCTTCTCTGTGGCTCCTCTGCTGCAGAATGATCATGTTGACTGTTTTCAGGGTGAAACTAACTGATTTTTCCTTCTGTTTCATGGCAGGGCGAGTCGGTGAAATATTTCTTGGATAATCTGGATAAGCTCTGCAAGCCGGTGAGTTTTTCCCCTTTCTGCTCCCGTTCCTCTGATCGGACCCGTTCGTGTCCGGGCAGCAGAATGTTCACCTCAAACTTTTCATTTTTTCTTTCTGTGATTATTCAGGGTTTCTGCAGGTCATTAAAAATCAATAAAAGTCATTAAATTATTATTTTTTTGGATTAAGGCCTTAACCCTTTAAAGCCCGATCCA